GGGTTCCCCCACGGCCCCGGTGCCGGAAATGGCGCCAAGGCCCGCGCGCTTCCCGCCGCCCCACGCGCGCCGCGGGCGTTCTCGCGAGAGCGAGGGAGGCGGGGCCGGGCGGCCGCAGGGCGAGAGGACACGGGCAAGATGGCGGCGGCTGCGGCGGCTCTGCGGCACCTGGCGCTGGGCGCCCGCCTCGCCCCGCACGGCCGCAACGCCGGGCCGCCGCTCCAGCRGCTCCAGCAGCGCAGGGGCCTCCGYCTCTCTGCGCCCGCCGCCATACAGGTAGCGAGGAGGGCTGCCCCGGAGAGGCGCTCACTCCTCTCGGGGAAGGGTCCGGCCGGGCGGGCGGGCGGTGACTTCGCCCTCGGGCTGAGGTGACTCCCGGCATGTGGGGAGAGCGGCCGTGCCCCCGCCCAGCCCGCCTGCCGCTGTCTCGCAGGTGACGGTGCGGGACGCGCTGAACCAGGCGCTGGATGAGGAGCTGGAGCGGGACGAGCGCGTCTTCCTGCTGGGCGAGGAGGTGGCACAGTACGATGGCGCCTACAAGGTACGTGGGAGTCGTTAGCGGCCCGGTAATGGGCCTCAGGCGAGCCCTGACTCCTTTCTCCTGCCCTGCAGATCTCCAGGGGTCTCTGGAAGAAGTACGGGGACAAAAGAGTGATCGACACTCCGATATCCGAGGTGAGGCTGCCCTGTCTCCTACCCTGGTGATCCCTCCATCAGCTGATCCCTGGTCCTTACCCCTTGSTTTCCTTCTCTTTCAGATGGGCTTCGCAGGAATCGCTGTCGGTGCTGCTATGGTTTGTCCATTTGCATTCCTCTACTTCTGGTTTTAAAAATTAAACCATTTTTTTAGGTAAAAACACACTAATATATTTCCATATTTTTAACAGGCAGGGTTGAGACCAGTGTGTGAATTCATGACATTCAACTTCTCCATGCAAGCAATCGATCAGGTTATCAACTCTGCTGCCAAGACCTGTTACATGTCTGCGGGATCCATCGCTGTTCCCATTGTCTTCCGAGGCCCCAATGGAGCATCAGCCGGAGTGGCTGCYCAGCATTCCCAGTGCTTCGCAGCCTGGTACGGGCACTGCCCCGGCCTCAAAGTCGTCAGTCCCTGGAGYGCAGAAGATGCCAAAGGGCTGCTGAAGGCATCAATCCGGGATGATAATCCAGGTGAGCACAGGCAGGTCATGGCAATGCCTGGCACTCGATCCTAAGCGGTGTCTGTTTACCCCACAAATACTGTTAAACTGTAAAGCACTCAAGGTTGCTCTACTGCAGTTTTAGGGTACTTTAAAAGACAGAGGGATTTGTTCTTTCTCTAACAGTCCCCTGCCATGCTAACAGTAAATTGATTTTGTGCTGTTTCCAGGTGGAGTTTAGTGCTAGTTTGGTACCAACCAGGAAACGTGGAAGCATTTACAAATTTATCATAAAGGGGTTAAAAAGGATGAATTAGGAGGAGTTTCTGCATATATAGTGCCTGTGTAACTCATTTTTACAGATCATGAAATTCAAGTGATAAATTCAGAATGTCATTATTAAAGAGGAGGGCAACCTTTGTCTTTGTTTTTCCAAACAGTAATAAAAAATATGAGGCGCTTTTAAAACTAGTGGTTGTACTGTCATGTACCAAAAGTAAAATACCTGACCTCATTTCAAAGGTAGTGTAGACAGTTTTTAAAATAATTGATCACTGAAGTACAAGACTTAGATTTACTTTTTTGTAAATTGCTTCTGCAGACATAGTCCTCACTCCCTCGTTGCCTGGATGGGTTTAGTGTCTTGAGCTGGTGCAGGACTGTTAACGGTCACTGCAGGCCTGTGCCTGCAGATGTACATGTTAATCCAAGTATGTTTCCTCCTAGTTGTGATGCTGGAAAATGAATTACTCTATGGTGTTCCCTTTGAAATGTCTGAACAGGCACAGTCAAAGGAATTTGTTATTCCCATTGGAAAAGCTAAAATAGAAAGGCCAGGTAAGCTGACATTGTTTGTTTCCTTACTGTTTGATATGCTTGGGGGCTTCCCTTAACCTTTCAGCTATTCAGGGTACTGCTATCTTAGGGCACAGAAAAGTATTTCAAATGTTAAATGTTTAAATGTTCCTTTGTACCAATAGTATGGTTTTATGTTCTGCTGCCTTTAAAAGGAAACATCACCTGATTATCCATATCTCAAATAAAACTATGCCCTTCTAAAGGATTCCATAAAGGATTTATTCCATAGTACAGAGATTGGGTAGGTGAAGGTTGAAACAGTTTCTTCCTGACATAAGTATGCAATTCTTGTCAAAAATGCAAAAAGAGATCACTAATAATGTTTCAGCCTACTTGTTCATAATTTACTACTAAATTACATGAATGTTTGAAAAGGATAATCTGAATACTATATTAAATATCTCTTCAGTTCCCTGGATTCAAAGGTAAAGTTTGTGTCTTTTACCATAGTCCTTCCTCACTTCATATTATGGCTGAGCTCAGTATTTCAGATAAACCTAAGGAACTTAAATTTGCAAGTGAATCCTAGTGCTGCCTTGAAAGGAGGTCTAGAAAAAAAGATTTCATTCTGAAGAGTTCTTTTGCAACACTTGTTTCTGTTCCAGGAACTCATGTTACATTAGTGTCACACTCAAGACCTGTYGGCCATTGTTTGGAAGCAGCTGCTGTACTTTCTAAAGAAGGTGTAGAGTGTGAGGTGAGTGGGGTTTGGGTTATTTTTCTCTTCCCCTGAAGTGGGGCAAAAAAAGTGGCATCTTGTCCAGGTTCTGCAAAACTGCAGTGTATCAACTACAAGTAAGTAGAAAGGCACATGCTGTAAGTTCCATAACAGCATGTGCATTTCATGTTTCTGAGTTAGAAGTTTTAAGTCTTGTCTTTGGAGTTAGAGCAGCTGAAAGTGCTGAAGGGCCCTGTACCYAAACAGTGGTGACTGACAGGCTGAGATGACACCAAGGCTCACACTCTCCCTTCTCCCYACAGGTAATAAACCTGCGAACCATTCGACCGATGGATATCGAAGCGGTGGAAGCCAGCGTGGTCAAGACAAACCATCTGGTCACTGTAGAAGGAGGCTGGCCCCAGTTTGGAGTAGGAGCTGAAATCTGTGCCAGGATCATGGAAGGTACTGAGTTTCACAGTACATTGATCTCATTCCCTAYTCTAAATCTCGATTATTCTTGATGRRGGGTTACATCAGAGGAGCARGAGCTCTCTTKCTCTAGAGGTTTTCACAGGGTGGGTGCACAAACCCCAGAGTGCATAAACTCAAACAATCCAGAACAGCAATCTGGAGTACTAGAGCTACAGGAACAAAATTGTTTCAATAGAGTAAGATTCAGAAATTGAATTAAGACAAAACCGTAGACTTGGTAATCTGACACCATCTTCTGTTTCAGGACCTGCCTTTAACTACTTGGATGCTCCAGCTGTGCGTGTCACCGGTGCTGATGTCCCCATGCCTTACGCAAAAATCTTAGAGGATAACTGCATACCTCAAGTGAAGGATATAGTATTTGCAGTGAAAAAAGCTTTGAATATATAAGTTGTAAATACATGTTTTAAAAGTCCTGCTTTACAAGGTATTATTGGTGTTGGGCACGTTGTATGCATAACTTCTGTTGTATAAGCTCCATGAACTTTTGTACAGTGGGGAGAGTATAGTGGCSTCCCAAAATATTTATATGGGTTTACCCCCCAAGCCACACTTCATATATGCAGCAATGTGGTAATGCTTGTTTGTTCAACAGTTGGATTAGTGCTACGGCTTGTGGAGGAATCCTGTTCTAAACTCAGAATGAGGAAAAAAATCCTCTGTTTTCGCTTGGCTTGTAAGTACCGGAGGAGCTGTGTTGAACCTGCTGCAGCAATGATTGAGTGCAGAGCTGCAGAGAGCAAGAGCAGGCCCCGAATGCTGTACATCTGTAGGAGCCTGTGGTTGCCAAGGCTCACTAAAGAGGAATGATGAAGTTGATCAGGTAAAGCCCAGCCTGTCAGTGCAGCAGTTCAGTGCAGCTCTGAGCAGAGGCTGTGGCAGCCCCCAGGGTGGGTTAAGAGGTGGTGGCTGTGTCTGGTTTGAAGAGCAGTCCGCACATGAAGAAAGGCTTCCGCACAAGAACTGAAATAAAGATCCTGATCCTTTCCAGTAGATTATGGGAAACAGTACCTAATTTTTCTTTACTAGCTGCCACCTAACAGTGATAAAAAAATTATGTGCCCAGATGCTTTGCTTTTATTGTTCAAGTTTTTTGTGGTTTCTTTTTTTTTAACTTCTCGCCTGAGCTGACAACAGCACACACCAACTACAGTTCTTGCAGTGCAAAATGAGTTACTTTATTCAGCTGCACTGAGCCTAAGTCTAAGCAGCAGATGTGTGCATTACGTGTGAAGAGCTGGGAAGCAGYAGCAGCAGCCTTTCAGACGTCGCTGCATCCCAGGGAGCTCTGCCAGGCTTCCCTCTGCAGCTTCTGGTAGAGGGAAAGCTGCCTTGAGGAGCCTGTGCAGCAGGGCCTGCTCTGCACATCAGGTGAACAGGGGGAGGAGATGCCTCTAAGCAGCCAGAAGAGCTTMGGTCCTGTTTCTGAAGAGTCAGGAATACCTTCCAGGGTATTTCCTTTAGTAGAGGTGCTGTTAGGTGATTGGGAAGTCTGGCTTGGAGGTGCAATCCCAGCTGAACATACCCACCACACGCTGCTGAAGGAATTCCATTAGCATTTTAATAAAAATGACTGAATATCACAGGTTACATGAAACTTTGTACAGACATTCTCTGCATAGTAACAAACACTGATGTACTTGAATTTAAAAAAATGGATTATCTATAATCCTTTAAAGTGCAATTTGTTTAAGGTTTTAAATCAAAAAAGATCTTTCAATAAAGTTTAAACGGTAGAATTAATTTGAAGTAACTTTGTATTTAACTAAATCAACAATAACATCCCAGTGCCCTATTACCTCCCACTTCAACTGCTCCCTCATTTAAAAACACTTTCCCCTAGAGTTGCAGGTAGGATGTCCATTTAAACAAGCTTAATGAGACAGCATTTTAACTCCACCAGCAAATGTGGTGGGAATAAGATTWAATTCTCCAGTTCCCTCACCTGTGCAGTATGCTTTAAGGGTAGGWTTATGTAAAACAAACTTTTTGACTCCATGCAGCAAGAATTAAGATAGATTACGAGTGCGTGAAGAGTTGAGAAACTGAGCAGACAAGCTACTTTCCTGTAATTTAAAAAAAAAAAAAAAGGTGGAATGGAGCAAGGAAAAAAATGCATTCATTCACCATCATCATCATTCCTATTTTCAGAATTTTTTTTTATTCAGCTATATAGAAGTTGCTGTACCCCTGAAACTGTAGCTAGAGAACAGTTCTTGCAGCCAAGATCGGAGTACTTATCCCAGCATGGCAGAGCAATTCGGGCAGGGCAGTGAGTGCTGCTACTGGAGGAAAGCTGAAACCGGGGAGAACGAAGCTGCTGCTGCTCTGCTGGTGGGTGAGTTGCTGGTCAGGAGGGTCAGCACAGGAGGGGGAGAGGGAATTGAATCCTGGAGTGACCAGTGGCCTCAGCTTATCCTGGGAGCACTGTAGTCGCACGTCTGTGTTTTCTTCAGAGTTCCTTTTTGAAAGTTTTGAATGGAGCTGAGCAAGGCTCCTCGGCTTGCGCTGACCTCGGGCCGCGGCGTCGGCACCTCTGAGCTCGGGGGAGGAGCTGCTGGTGGCAGGGGCGGCGGGGGCGGTGCTGGGGGTATGGACGATGCTCCTGTGGATTGGGGAAAGAAGATGGGAGTTTGATTATGCCACGGATGTCTTGCCWTGGAGGACTGCGGCTGCTTGGCCAGACTTGGTCAGTCCTGCACGAGTCACATCATCCCTTGAATGCCAGTGGAGTGTGAAGAACAGAACAGATGGAAAATGCCAAAGTGATCAAATCCCTCTATCTGCAGGTGAGTCATGTCATCTGAGACACCTCTGAAATGAAACCTGAAGGGCCTCGGTACTCCRATGCAAACATGACTCATATGTGATCTTGCACCAAGGGAAATAGAGATCACTTAACAGGACTTCCCAGCTTCAGCTTCTCCCATTTGTCCCTAGTGARGCATTTTGCTCTCTGGGATATGAACAGTAATAAAGACTGGAAGCAAATTTTCTACCTGTTCTTACTTGCATAACTCACTTTACATTCTTATGAAGGACCACATCACTGTGGTATTTGTGATGACCATTTTGCTTGATCAGATTATAACTTCATTTTTAAAGTACTAACTGCAGATAGAGTTTTCTGGAAGTGTTTTACACTTCCACAGTTCTGCTTGACTTTCTCCAAACATGTTGCAACAAATGGTTGTTTTGACAGACTGAATGAATCACAACACTGTCACACACACCTGCTTGCCTCACCTGTTCCCACCAGCCACCTTTGTACTCTGTCCCTTGCTGTCTATGCCAGCCACATCCACTCTGTGCTTCTCATCYTGCCTCAGCCTCCATATCCTGACTCCCTGGGAAGCCAGAGCCCACAGTGGAACATGCAGCTGATCCAGGAGCAAGAGACTGCATGGAGGTGCTTCCTGACATTTCAGATCCAGACAAGTGGCCTGATTTGCCCCAGGCACTCTGCCAAGCACCCTGATCTTGTACAGCTCTGCTGCTGCACATTGCACCATCATTGCTACACAAGTGAAATAATGATGGGCCTATCTTGTCTCATATTCTGGAAGGAGTGGTGGTTTAATGATTAATATCTTGGAACTACACAGCAGTGAATTTCAACTCCATCATCTAGATCATGAGTTCTTCCACAGGAAGACTAGGGAGACAAATGGCACCTATTAACACTTTAACACTCGCTTCCAGTAGCTCTAACCTACAAAGAGGAATATACTGGTAAATGGCAAGAACGTGATACTGGACAAGTTAAGATAACGTTAAGGCAACCAAGAAACTGGTTCCTGAAGTAGAACTGCTTGCTAGAAGTTTGCAAATACCAAGCAATTAAGCAACATGCCACTCAGACTCAAAGGGGATTTGATGAYGGATAAAGCTCAACTAGAGAAAAAAAGCAGACCAAAGTTCTCTGTGCTCCATTTCTCTCTCAATTCCTTYCCAACAATTGTTTTCAGACTAACAAGTAACAGCCAAAACATAACTGCTGTTTATTAAAACAAGCAGTTAGACTAGATGAAACACATAATTCAAAACTCTCTCATTTTCTATTTGTACCAGTCTTTGAAGAGAGACTTTTCCCATATGGGAGCAAGCTCAAAATGCAGAGTAGTCACACAAAGCAGCCAATTTTGCCAGTGTACATTAATACGTGCTGTGATTGTATCACTTTCAGGTCAGCAGGAGAAATTCACATTGGCATGAAAGCCTTCTGTGGAAACAGAGCATGGAAGTACATATTGTGCTCATCTTCACTCTCTTCCCTTCCAGAGGAAATACTCAAGTCCTAATAGAAATACCAGTGATCAACTGAAACAATTTAGCCTTTCTGTTGCATGTATACCAACTGCTTTCTGAAGTAACAGAAACATTACACAATGGCAGCACAAGCTGAAATCARTTGCACATGGCGGGCCCTCTAACTTATCCAAACCTGCTGTTTACACTTGCCGAAGATGTACATTGATTTACTATGAGAAATACTGAAAAAACATAYCCTGTGTTAGAGTCTTGTTACTGTTGTGGATGGACTGCCAGGAAAGGGAAAATTGGCACTTAGCCAAAGGAAGAACAAGACCAAGAACAGTCCAAGTACTTATTCAGTGGTTAAAGTGATCAGAGCAGGACACTCTAGAACTGGTGCACCAACCTAGCCTCAAAGAGATCAGGCAAACTGCTGTAAAAGCACCAAGAGCTGCTAATCATAAAAGAAACAGCTTCAAAGAAATGCAAGAGCTGCAGAGAACAAAGACAAGACTTTTGTCTGGAATTGCAAGGTGAGGCTAAAGGAACTATGTAAGTAGTTGTACAAGATGCAATAGGTTATGACCACGAAAGCAGTGGGCAGGGAATACAAATACAATGGTAAAACATTCAATGAAGGGAGGCAAACATTTGACATATGGGGGCAAAAAAACCACAAAATGCTTGGATTGCTAAGTATTATTAGGCCAAGATTCCATGACTTGTCTTCAAATTTTGGTCTGGCTATTTTACAGGAGAAGAAAAGACAGGGAAGCAAGGGCAGAGATCAACTTTCTTCCTGGAAAACTCTTAAATTCCTCAGGACTCACTATTATTGAAATTGAGCTGCTGACAATATCATGTAGTTAAGCTCTTGGAAGATTGATAACAGAGAATGATGCCCTTACACTTGAGCTCTGCCTTAAGCATAAATACACACAGAGTTCAGAATGGTAGCTATGAGCATTGCACACTGAACCTGTTAAGGGCATGATTCAAAAATCTTCAAATCCATTCATTTCAGTTACACAATGAAAACCAAGCTCTCCTTCCCTTCTTGGCACAAGCAGTGCAAAAGAAATCTTAGGTCACATACAGCCATTCATACACAGTTACATCTAAGGATTAAATCGTTCTACCCTACACTGAATTATTTTCCTGTATTTACTAGAAAAAATGTTTGAGACAACTGCTCAGCTATCACTAGGCCCTTCTAATACATATGTTGGAAGACGTTGCCTGCAAACACACATTCATTCATGCAGTTGTAAGAATAAAACACTCAAACAAGAACTTACCAAGGATTTTTACAGGGACATTTTTGTTAAAAGAGTGTGTTAAAAGGAATAGGAAGTAAATCAGATGCTGTAAACTTGATGCCTGAATTGAAACAAAAACTTAATTATGAATTTAAAGTGACAGCAATTGTGCAAACAGCATTAAAAACTTGGCTGAGAATGGGATGCGAACAAAGAAAACAATTTTAGTGATAGTTTTTAAAGATGCTGTATTTCATTAAAATAATCTGTAAGAACATTCAGATTTTTTTTTTCTATTCCCTCCCAATACTAAGCAACTTCAAGGTTTGCATCCAACTTTCCCATTCAGAAACAGAGCATCTTTAAAGAGATAAATCAGCATTAGCTTACTTTTCCGAAAATTCACGTTCAAAATGATGCATGCTCTATTGAAGACAGCAGAGAAAGAGAGAGGACACAAGTTAATCATCCAGTTCTCGTGTCAATGTAAGAAAAACAGATACTGTTAGCTGAAAAGTTAGTACAAAAGGCAATACATTCTTWCTCACTGACAAATATGAGGACAGCGGATTGACTATTTCATATTACATTTRTAATACTTGGTCCAATTCTGGAAAATGAACCACAATTTTCCATGCTCTGAGCATTATTATACTTGATCAACAAATACAACACACATGCTTTCAGTTGCACATGCCATAATTCAAGCTTTACAGGATTAAAGTGCATTTAGAGAGATTTAGCAAGAAATCTGCAGGAAGATTAGCSACAGAAGAGGAAATCCATTCAGTTCAAGAAACACTTCCTGCYGTATTAACACCTGTATTCACACCTATGGCTCAGAGACACTCAGGAAAAGCAYTTTCTAAAGCATTCCAACTGTTTTACAGAAAGGTGAGGGCAGGAAAGATGCACCATATGGGTGCCAATGAAACATATGTCATACTGAAGGATTCAGAACAACTGTCACAGAAAAAGATTGTTAAGTACAACTCTTTCACTATTCCTGCAGGGAAGCCCAGAGAAGGAAAAGTGACACCTTCCAAATTTTTCTGTTAAAAGATCTTGTTGTATTTTATGGACTTACTTGATTTAGAAAATACTCAGTAAAATTTTAAATAACCCATACCACAATGTTCTGCATCCCTTCTGATCCTAGCCACTGCTCACAGCCACAAAGAAAACAGATTTTCACAGAAGCAAAGAATTGTAGAATAAAAAAAAAAAGAACCACACCTTCAAGGGAGAATGTCAGGAACACAGGATTTTATATGATGATCACTTGCATGATTTAACAATATATTTCAAATATGTTATTTAGCCAAGTACCTGCAACACCACCAGCCCAAAACATTTTCACCAATGACAACAGCCCATGAGAGCCAACGCTTCCAGGAGGTACCTTTCCCCTATGAGCAGGCCACGCTCTCAATCCTACAGCTGCTACCAGACAGCTGAAGCCAGCCACCGTTTTATTCCTTAAGTCTTTTCCATCGATTCTCCCAARCACCCTGCTGCAAGCCAAGCCTCACAAGGTCTTTGTTCATAGACAAAGCACCTCTCAACATGTGAGAAACCCCCTGAACAGGTCATGTCAGCCTGAAGCCCGTTCCCCTTTGGTCAGTGTATCTGAATCTTCACACACCCAGACTCTTTATCTGACCAGTTGCAGGCCAGCTTGAGAGCAGGAGCTTCTCTTGGGGGCACTTTTCCACACCAGCCTTAATTTTGCCATGGCATTGTATCAGAAGGATGCCTCAAGATCCAGCACCAAACCAGAGAGACTGAAAACCTCAATGTCCTTTTGAGAATCATCTCACCACACTGACACCCACAAGCAATTTTGGTTTAGAGATAAATGTCCTTAGTAAGTACAAGAAAACCAGAAGAGGGAAATGCAAACTACAGATGCATCACTCATCTCAAATAAAGTCCTGCCATGGGGCAATTGTGTCTTTCCTCAAGGCAGTAATAGCATACTTGCTTAAAACAGCTAAAACTACAACACTGCTGGTGAAAAAAACTAATTTTCTCTTAGAATTAATATCTGAAATTTCTTCTATGAATTCTAATTACAAAAGCATTCCTGAAAATGTGACATTTGGCTTTACACCTCATAAACAGCATCCAAACCATAGGCTCACTAACRCACTTCCCAAGGTGAGGTAGGACCACAAGCACCACATCAGACAGGGCTGATTACCACAAGTTTTCAGGAGCAAACTGGCAGCAAGGTGTCCAACAAACACACTGTGACAATATGGTTTGGATTGAGACAAGTTTTGAGCACAAACCTGAGTCATTTTGACCCACATCTGCACATAAACCTGCATCCTGTGCTTAAAACTTGAAAAAGCTTTCAATCAAGGTCCAAGTCAAAAGGTAGTTTTACTGGGAAAGGAAAAGCTTTCTAAACATCTGTCTGTTTTGGAGGCACATTTCAGCTACTTCCTTATTAAAGCCCACAGGACTGGCAACAAACCCTCCAGCTCACAGTCAGTGCATCCCGAGAACAGCACTGTCACTGTGCAATACAATAACCGTCATTATCTTGCATAGGCTAACTGGGAGAAGTTAGTTCCTACAATACACACTTCTCATGCCCTCAACTTGAAGGAGAAATTACTAATTTGAATTTCAGCATGACTGATTTGAATTACATCACACAGACTGCAGTGTCCTTTGAAAGACTATCCACAGCAAACACRAATTTGATTGCATTGCTTTGGTTAATGGGTCGTGCTGTGTGAAAACTTCCTGGGATTAGAAATCCTACAGCAAGAGTCACCATAAAAAAGGCAATGCCATGGGCTGCTTCCTCTCTAGAAATGTATTCTGTTAAYGTCTTTTGTTATCAATATTTGCCAGCACTCCTCTTCCAGCCTTTCAGCCTGAAGTACACCCACTACTGTTCAATAGTAGATTTGTAATTAAACTTTCAGAGCATTTCTATTGCCCACTCAAGCAGATTCTTCACCACTTCCCTGTCCTAAACATTAGCAAAACCCTCTGAACAGCGGCCCAGCAAACTGAAAAACAGAACTGGCCAAAAATAATAAAGTTATTATTTTTAGCCCAAATCAGTCTTGTTTCTAGACTTGTCTACCAATTCTACTGCATTATCAATGGGCTGTAGCAGAACAGGGGAGATTTACGAAGCTTAAGCCATCAAATYTGTCACACCCAAAATTCCTGTGAATACATCACAGCAGTACAGGAATAAAAAGACAATACAAAGAAACAAGGGATGAACAAGCAGTATTTCAGAGTCAACAGACCATTAACACCAGAACAAATGCAAACTGCAACATGAGGCCCAAGAAATGCCTGCAAAGCAGCAATGTGGGTAGGCCTGGAGTAACAGACTTCAAAACAAGCATATACACCCTGGGTAAATATATCATATCTCAAGAAAGGTTATTGAATGGAAAAGAAAACTATAAAAATGCTCTCTATGACCCTCAAAAGAGAGCACATGCCCACACTCAGGCTGCCACAAGGTAACTGTCATCTCCATGTTCCATCCTTGAAAACCAGGATCCCTTAATCATCCTTGGGAATAACACCCACCACTGAGGGGCAGAGGGGAATAAAAAAACAATATAAAAAAGATGAACACTGAATGATTCTTGAACTTACCTGCTGTGGAGGGCGGAGTGGGGGATGATGGAGATGTTAAAGGGGAACTCGCCCCAGAGCCTGCTAAATAAAACAACAGTCAGGTAACTACAGCTGTGACATTGCAGTTCAACAGTCAGACAAGACAGATTGCTGGAAAGAGGCCAACTTTATTAACTGAAGATCCAAGCCTGCTTCTACTRTCATCTTGGGAAAGATTCCCATCCATAGCAACAGTAGCTTTACAGTACAGAGTATCAGAGAAGCTTCAAACACATAGGAAGTGCACTCAATATTTCTCAATGGGAARCATTTATTTTCTRTTGCTTAGGCTGTTAGATTTCAGCATCCAAATTCTGTTCTTAAGAGTTGTGCCACTGCATGGGTGGCACCCCATCTTTCCTAAGGCATGGTTTTCAGTCAATTGCTGTACTCCAGAGCAAATTGCTTTTGGACACATTTTAGCCAAGCAAAAAAACTCTGTTAATCTGTGTCATTGTACCAACCATGCCTTTTAGCTAAATGAAGACCAGTCAAAGGCTCTGTTGGCACTGAAACAGCAATTAAACAGGTAATATTGTCATTCATCTTAACACCTTACTATGTACTACAGATCACACAGGGAGTGTCCCTGAAGACTGAATTATTTAATGGCCCAAGTAAGGATATTGTTGTTATTCAACTCAAATACCAAACAGAATAAAGAAACTGATTTTTTTTTTTTTTTTGAGGAATGGGGCACAAAAGAGAGGACAGTACATTAAATTAAGCAGATGAAAATATAACATTGACAAYATTTTTAAACCTTCAATTTATCTATTATTAAATACCCAAAGCAGTGGTATCAAGCTTTGGTAGTCCAATATTATTACATAAAGTGATGGTAATTCTGTATCTTTTCAGACAGAAAATCACCGGAATAACCAAAAAATGGCATAGCAGTGTAGAAACAAAATCCTTTCTCTGTAGTTACCTGAGTTATTTGAGTTGCTGTATTTGGCTGAGTGTTCTTCCCCACTTTCATTGGCAGAGCGTTTTGACTTCTTTAAAAGGGAGCAGAGAAAATTAGAAGATGGCAACGAATAATCACTTTCTATGATAAGAATTCAACTGACACACAGATTTATAACAGCCATCCACTGTATCACTCAAGGTTTTTCAATGCTCAGCATCCTTCTCTCCATACCCAGCACATGCTGACGTGGTCACAAGAGCAGCATGGCTGTTCTGAGCTCACATATCTGTGGGCAGGCACCAGGGAACTCCAGTGCCCTCTGCCCACAAGGGAGAGGCAGAAAACTGACCCCCAGAAAGGAAGAGCAACACAGACAGTGCTGCAGGAGCAGAATGAAATGGGCTCCAACACCTTCCCAGAGAGMAGAACAGAGCAGAGCAGCTCATCTGGGTATGAGCTGTTAACAAAGACTGGTTTCATACAGCAGCCTCAATCAGGTTACACCAATATGCAAGTCAGCTACCATTGTAGCTTAAGTTTTTTAGTACATCTATAACTTAACTAAAAAAGTAAAAAACAATCAGGAAGTAGTGCAGAAAAACACAGAAAAGGATAGAGCCATGTACCTATGGCTAAACCTCTGCATGATTAACATTACAAAAAGATATAGGTCTTTTTCTGTATGAGAAACTTATTCAAAGATTGCTTACTTTTCGTGCCAAGATCTTCCTTTTCTTTTTTTCTTCTTCAGAGCCATGATGAGATTGAGCTCTTGTCAGCCTTCTGTGCTGGTGAATCTTCAAAATGAAGGAAAAGATTTAAAAAGGCCACATTAAGATCTTAAAGGTTTGAAAACAACATGCTTGGCGTACAAGAAAACACACTGTAGTCACTCTGCATGTTTGGATTTCCTTTTTTCATTTTTAGTTTTTATCTTTACTGCTCCTAGTAGAGGATGGAGACTCACACTGCAGTTAAAATGATCTTTTAACTTGGGAGCCACTGCCTGTGAAGCTGCACCACTTAAAATAGTGAAATGCCATACAGTCAACAGCTGTTCTACAACTCCTCATATTGCATTTCTGGGAAAGCAAATCTGTTGGTGAAAGCCTTTATTACTCAAAATCACTTTTGAGTAAAAACGTACTTTCTACATGTAAAAGTGGTAAGAGAAAATGAAATGTCTGTAGGAAATAAAGAAGTGCAGACATTACCGATTTCTGTTCTTCTGTTAATCGCTTTTCTATGCATTCCTTGGAGATTTTCAATGCCTCTTTTAGCTTAGTAGGAATCTAGTACAGAATGGGGAACAAAATCATAGCACAAAATGTGATGAAGAAAAACACAGCTTCACTGCCCAAATCTCACTATTCATCTGATCACATTGCTCATCCAAAACCACAATATGTAACACTATTCCTTTAGTGAARCAGAAAAGAAGAATCTAGATGCATGTTTTTCTACTCCAAATCCAGCTACAGAACAKCAGGGACATAAAAAAAGCCAAACCCAGGAAGGGATACTCTAAAGGCAGRGAGAGATAACTACTTTGAGACTCCAGTCACATCCCCAAATTTCCATAAGGCTGACAACACAAGATTCAGGGCACATGTCCTCCAGGATAAGTGCCCTGAGGCAGCTCCCCAGAGGACCAGATGTGACTCCTGAAATGCCCCAATGCTGGAGCTGGCAGCAAGGTGCTGATGGTCTCACACAGCAGAATCAGCTTCCACAGGTCATTGCAATGTGTTTCCATCACTGCAAGGGACCCACATGACCCACAGCYTCTGCTCAGAGCATCCCCATCAGCTACACAAATGGGATCCAGCTCAGCAACTGCTCTTGAACACTCCTGGGGTGACACAACATTCCCAGGTACAATTTGGCAAAGGAATCCAAACACTGATGGCAGYAGCCACAAAGGCAAATAAAGCCAGGTCTCCTCCACTCCCTCTGTCAATTAATGTGTAGCTACCCACATCCTAGCACTTCCACAAACATCAGCAAATCAATGTTCAACTCTACCTTAAACTGTGGTTTCTCAGAGTTTGTTAGCAGGACGTCACTGAATAATCTGTGAGTGGATATAAAAAAAAAAAAAAAGAAAAAAAGGAATATTTTATTATTATTCCCAAGAGACAAGCAAAACCAGAGCAAGAATATTATTGGTACTGTTCACTTAAATCCCGCTTTCTCCTTTTGCTTCTCTGTCCTCAACCCTTGCCACATGTTTCTGTGTACTGCTTTTTTATTTCCTAAGCACTGCTGTAAAATTAGCAGCATCCAACCCTCAGAATGTAGCCACTACTTATGGCAGAGAAAGCCAGTTTGTGTGAGATATTTTGAAAGTTGATAGAATGAGTTCAATTATCAAAGGCAGAGAAGGATTTCCCCCAAAAAAGAATACCTTTTCCTTAAAATTATATGAATTCTTTAATTCGAAAAAAATTAAATTTCACCTAAACAGAATAATTGTTTTTGTTAAAAAACATTCCCTTAGCACATCTATTGGTTTAGAATTAACAAGGAATATGTGAAAGATCAAGTGAACTTAACATTTGAAAATATCTGCATTCTTGCCTGTCCTCTAGAAAAGGAAASTAAATCAAATATTACAATATTTTTGCTCTCCCCTCTCTGGTATCAGCAGAAACAACATAAGTRATTAATCCTTTTCCATCCAAAACAAAGACACTAGAGGGCAATGGTAGTCTGGAAATGGTTAGTCCATTTCAARATACTTTGTCCTGGAGAACATACTAGAAAACTGTCACAGGGAGACCTCAATCATGGCTCCAACATAAATATTACTGAGATCTTTTGCTGCTGTTCACTGTGGAAAATTATCACAGGCTTATATTATAGAAAAGAAATTCATGTCTGGAATCAAGTTAATTAARGAGAGCATACAAWGAAAAATTCAGAAATAAAGCAAATTTTTAAATACTTACAAAAACCCATGAAAGAACATTCATCCTTGTTTACAGGACTTTCTGACCCTTTCATATTACATGTTCTTACGGTTATAATAAATAGATATCTAAATTATATTAATGGCTCTAAATTATATTAATTGCATTGCATGTCTGTGTAGAACACTTTGGTAAAGAGTATTGGTATGAAGGGAATGTAGTATGAGATCTTACATATCAAATGCAGCTGCGCATAGATTGTTTATTCAGCATCTTTAAAGACCTCTATATTTCTRTATTCACAGAGTTTTCCTGTAGTATTTCTCCACTGCTTACATTAATCTCTCTACCTCCCACCTCCTTTAAAAGCAGAGGAGGGGAAGAAAAGAAGGAATTGAAGGCTGCAGTGACTCTTCCCAACCCAGAAATTTGAACCTCAGAGCAGGCTCTAAATGCACTGCAATCTGTGCTGTGAGATCAGACCCAGATTTAGGTATGGACAATCTGCCATTTAGGAGGTCCCAATTACAGATCTCACATTAAGGAATAATAAAAGAACCTCCCACCAGAACTGTGGTTCCATGCTCAGCGTGTTGGTGACATGTCACAGCATGGGGACAGCAATTTCCCTGGAATGCTGTGTCCTAAATGCAGGCAGGGTGGCACTGCAGACAGGTGTGGTCCCAACTCTGTGGCATAATGACAGTGCTCCCTGTCTTCACCCTGGCCTTGCCCCATGCCTGTCCCYACCCCTTCACTGCATACTGGGAGGGCAGCCTGTAAGGAAACTTATTCTGTCTGTGCTTCAGAGAATCCCTAAGCCAGCCCTGCAGGGAAGCAGACAGAGCTTCCACAGTACATTTCATACCCAGAGCAGGTCTAAATGTCACCGCTGAGCAAAGCAAATGATCTATTTCACCAGTGCTAAGTAAACTGAYAGCAAAATACACTGAAGTAGGTCTGAAGGAGACATGCAAAAAGATTTCTAAATCCTTTAAATCAATCTGTACGTGATCCTTATCATGCTTGCATTACTTTAATGGTTGGATTAATTGAGATTGTGCTAAATAAAGTGCATACATGACAGCTCAAACAGACCAAGAGGCAAAGAAATGTTAAATGCACATATRAACAAGGGATGGGTTCTATAAAATCTAGCAAGCTTCACTTGGGACACATCCCTGAAAATGAGGAGCAAACCTTTCTAAARAGCAACATGAGCAGAAAGTTTCTTCCTCCTAAAATAATTAAAAACACTGCCATGAGTATAAAACAAGTCAAACAGGACTTACGGCATCTGTAAGAGCCGTGAGACAGTTGGCATCCCATTCTTCAGAGCTTCACAAGTCAGAATGGACTCCAACACGGACACTACCAAAGAAAGGACACAAATGAACACATTTTTGCACGGCAGGATAGCAAACAATTTAGAATAAACGTCTGGCTCTGCTGTGGGATGCTCCCCTAAGTATTGCATTAACCAAGCACTGATGAAGCTCTGTGGCATGTGGCTTTTATTATAGCATTACTGTTACATATAGAAGCTTTTCAAGAATGTTAGACATGAGACAAGGGAATTCAGGCATCTCATTACTTGCTAAACACTGCTTTATCACTCAGTTAAAAAAAATTATTCATACACTACTTATATTTCATGAAGAACATATTTTCTATTTAAYCAAATTACTAATTCTTTCCGGTCACAGGGTGCAAAGATCCCAGGCTGCCATTTCACAGCATTTCAGCTTAGGTAAAGTCTAAGAGTGTACCCRGGCAGCTGTGACTGAGATGTTCTGCACTGCATACTAACCAACAAACACTGATGGAGCAGGGGGGAAGCTCTCCACTGGAATCGTGTCTGGGGGTCTTCCGTAGGTCATTTCATACARTAAATGTCCAAAGCAATGAACRTCAACRCCCTCTAAAGTCTGTGCRGGAACAAAAAAATAAAACCACAACCTGTKAGTTTTTCACAACTGGTTAAGCCARTGATCTTGCATGTGAAGAYAGAAAAGAGGAACCATTTAGGCAGGTCCTAACCACAACCATTTCCCTGCATAACTGTAGCTCAGATGAAATCTTCACACCACAAGCTAAAACAGCTCCTGTTGTCTTTCGGTACATGATGGWACAAATGAGAGAGCAGTGTAGTCAAGTTCTGTAAAAATCGGTGAAGTAAACTCTTCACACAGCAGTTTAGAGATCCATGCATCAACAGAAATCCTAACCAAGCACATTTTCCTAGCTAAGTCAAACAGCAAAGAATGAGATTCCTAATATGACCAGCTGWCACTTTACAGGGAAGTAGATGAAAAGACAGAAAAAAATGCATACCAAACAAACCTAGGAGAGTCTCTTTTGCTCCTCCTTAGGTCTGTGCAAGCTGTACATATATGCTGAGCTCCCAGACAGCATATTTCCAAGATTTCATGTTTAAACAGAAAAGGCTCCTCTTACTGGAAGAAGCTYTGATGGCACTAACAGATTTGGACTAACCATGAACTTTTGATCGTTTCTTTGACAACACAGTAGAACTTGTTTAGCAAGGTCAGCAAGCAGCTATCTCGTGATGCTGCATGGAATTTATTACAATGAGAGCCTAAAGGCAGGGCAAGATGTTGCTGCAACAGGGCAAGTTTGTTTTCATATTTTWTGCAGTAAGATAAATATTTTGCTTTGCAAGCCTGCAGTTAACMGACTCAAACAAATAAAAATCACCTCTGAATAGTTAGAAATCTGCAAGCATCCTATATTTCTCACAGTATCCACCAAAGAGAAGGCTGATTACTGCTCCCAGCTAAGCACAAGTAATAAGGTGTGCTCACTGCACAGACACACAAGTGGAAAAGTGTGGTAGACAATATGCACATTCCTATGAAATAGAGACCGGGGTGGAAAGAGATCTTARAACAACTGCACTTTACCTCTATTTGTGCTGGCACTGCTGTCACAAAAACCCTCACCTGCACTCCYCCTCTACCTGCTTACCTTTGGCCTCAGCCTCACTCCAGTGTGCTGCAACAGAACTGCTGTGCAGACAGACAGTGGTTTGGAGGAACAGAAAAGGGATTTGATGAATAAAAACTCAGACTAAAAAATGGGCTGGAGCGACTTTTTTACAGTTTAGTCAGTTCTCCACAAAGAATATAAAGAGATGCATAAGAGTCAGATGAATTCCTTGTCTGAATCTTACATTAATTTTCCGAAACTGTGAAAAGTACGACCGATAAAATGATGGAAGTCCCAACAAGGAATTTTCTAGATCCAGTAATTTGCAGGTATCCCCATCCAACATCACATTGGCAGAGTGAAGATGGCCATAAGGAAATCCTTTCTCATGCAAGAACTTTAATACCTGAAAAAATCCAATAGAGAAGCACTGTCACAAGATACTCTGATGATCTCAAGATCATAAGATCATCAGTTTAAATGCTTCAATACCAAAGCAGACACATAATAAATGAGGCCCCCATTTGGAATGTTCACTCARCTTGATCTTCTATTTACATCCTCTTTGGCTGACTATTCATTCCCATTTCACTGATAACAGTTCTCACAAAACAAATAATTGATGCTGATCCTCAAAGCAGGCTTATAGACACCTCCCAAATTGATCTGGAAACTAAAATTTAAAATTCTACTGAATATGATAGTCTGAGTAAAAATTTTTTTTTTAAAACACGCTAATGACCATGCATTTATGGCACATATGCAGGCTATGAGTTACTTCCTTCTCTTTTTACACAAGGARCAGACTATATTATCACCTCTCTCCCATTTAAGCTACACACACACCAACTTCATTTTCTCTTTTTTGGGTCATAAATGGTCTCACACATATATATCTAAATTCAACTCAGCAGCTTATCTCAATTTACATTTAGCTTTGAATTCTGCTGCTGAAATAATGCTTGTGTGCTCAAAAGTTTATCTACTTTTTGTAATTAAGCCAGTTTGCCACAATAAAAATCAAAAAAGCTGGTAAATAAAGCAAAAACCAAAGTACCTCTAATATTTGCCTTCCATATGTTTTTATTTGCTGAAGTTCAAGACCTTGAATTTTTTTAGGATTGCAATACTTTTTCAGGAAYGGGTCTTTTGGCTTTGCCTTTGAAAGAAACACATATCAAATATCAGAAAAATCAGTATTTGTCTTAGTTYGCTTAGCAATTGATGGCAAACACTTTTATAAAAGACATCAATGGTCATTCCAACAAACATTCTGCCATTCAGGTTGGGGATGGGGGAGAAACATTACCTTATAAATAAGGTCCTTTAGTGTCCCTTTTTCACTGAATGGTCTAATAACCAGYGCTGATGATTCGTTGGCAGTGGCAAAAGTGATTTTGTAAATATAGGGATGCTACCAAAAGAAGAAACTGCAGGTAAATTTTAGATGACAGATTTTTTAATTCATGTGTTCAATTCACAAGTAAGAAAAGATCAGACAAAATTGTAYATTTAAAGTAGTAAATTGGATTCTGTCAGTGATATTGAATAACTCAAGTTATTCAGTCTTAAYCTGGAGTAAATGCAAAGAAAATGTCACAAAGACATTATTCAATTAACACATAAATTAAAACYGAAAAATATCCATTTGAGCCAYTCTATCACATGCTTAACATCYATGAAGAGAGACTCGTTTTGGAGTYAAATGCCAGATTTTTAGGCAGAGATGCCTATTGGATTTATTGTGTGGCATTTCACAGCAGCTTAGATTGTACAGCCTCCATTGCAACTATACTAAGATACTCCTGTCTTAAGTCCAAAGAACTGAAAAAATAATTATACTCGTTCCACTGCCTCATCCACTGCTGCMTGAGAACATCCCAGCTCACGGGTTAGCAATTATACCTAAATAGCACYATCCTAACAGCCTAAAGGTGTTGAGGAGATGAAATAAAAGCTCATGATCTCACAGGACTGCACAATAAAAAAATCAAATTAACCACAACACTGAATCTCCTGTAATAATCCTGCAGGATTATTACTTATGCTGAGAACATATTACCTCATAGTATATGGGAAATGTAATTAAAAGGTTTGCAAATGTTTAAATGAAAGCAACTCTAAAATTACAAACTATGTCAACTAGGCTAGATGGGCTTTTCCAAGATCAGTCCCTGACACACACTTTTGTGCTGGCACAATTTAAAAATCTTCAATCAATACTCACAGAACAGGAAGAAAGAAGTTTCACAGCATACTGTAAGTCTCTGTCAGACAAGTACTTATCAGGGCCAAGATCAGCCTGGAAATAAACAGGAAAAGMATGGCATTATAATAAATGTTGTATTCCATACAGAAAATGTGATCAGTGTTCTACTCTGGCAAATTCGGACACATGTTTGAAGRCACATTTGAAGTGCAAGCAAGGAAATTATACATGCAGAATGAAAGCTGAAAAGGCTGAATAAGACCTTGGTTTTACAACACAAACAGTCTGACCATAAATACTACTGCCTCTTTCCTCCCCCAGATCTGACATGCATTACTACCACTGAATGAACTTTGCCAACCCCAGACTGGGGCCTGTGTACATTGGGAACTGATAAGGCACCTTCTTCCTCTGCAGCAAGAAAAACTTCCCTCCTCCCCCAGGCTTTAGTGACCTCTACTCTCCAGTGAAGTCTCACAAAGAGCTGTGCTCATGCAATTAACAGGGCAAGCATTTCAGCACAGGAGCAAGAGCAACTGCTGTTACAGGAGCAATTCATGTCCCTCTCACCTACCAGTTTGTCAGTACAACTAAAGATCCGAGCAAGAAAACCCATGACTTTAAAAAGGATCATCTTGTTATTTGCAGTGAGCAAATTTGTATTATGGCCAACAGCCACATCATTACAACTAAAGATTCCTGAGGAGGGTTTGGGAGCAAATGACCAGGCCCAGAAACTTGCAAACTGGATTTGGCACCCGAGGAAAGAAACACAAAAAATTCCCACTCCATGCTCTCTCAAAGCYTGAGCTCTTCAATCTCTCTCCCCATCACTCACACATTGCAGTCAAATTCAAACTCAGAGTGAAATTGAGAAAGATTTAAGTATGAAATAAAAGCATAGTTACCCAGCTTAACACTAGCCGTTCCTTTGGTTGATTCTTAATTTTCATTAAGAAATATTTCTTACGTATTCGCCAGCCTACAAAGAATGTAAAGAAAAAAGTCAGCAGCAGCTTTAATTCAACATTGCTGAATCACACAGCTTACAGGCAGGACAAGGTCTGTACAGTATTGGAATTTTAGGACAACTCATATAGTTGGGRAAAAAATCAGGCAAGTTTTCACACACACATGCATTTCTTACCTATATCTTTTAATGGTTCTACTACTTCCCACTTTGGCTCTGATCGGAAGAACATTGAAACATGCTGTAAGGCAATTTCTGGAAAGAAAAATGAGACAAAGRAGGGGRAAAAGAAGRAARAAATTTAGATGTTTTTAAGACACTATATAATGTAATTATCTACATATGAGGTAAGATCTAATGCCAGAAAAAAATTCAGACTGAAAGTCAGCAAAATCACTTCAAAAGGAAATCAGATAAAAACACAGTTAGAGGGCATTTGCATTTTTAACCTGATAACTCAAATCCAGAGAGAAAAAAGACAAAGCACTGCTTGGAGCATTTAGCTTACCGATTTCCATTCTATCTATCTGCACTGGATCTACATTTCCAAGTCTAAACCACAGCTCATTTCCCACACGAGGTGTACACAACACATTAGAACATCAAATGTTTCTGCTATACCTGTAAAAGTGTTTTTATCTCTTTAATGTGCATCCATATTGCTATTGCTCTGTGTAGTTTATGTAACCTAATTAGTTCTGTCTCACTGTGTGTTATTATGCCCTTTTCTGTGCAGGCAGAGGTATTTGGCCAGCTATCATGAGCCTTCATACATTTTGGGGGCCCAGGGGGAGGACACYCATCTGGTTAGTGAATTCTCCCACAGCTGGGAACACAACTGGTTTATTCATGAAGTGACTTGAGGGGAAATCTCAATGAGAAGTGTGGGGGGGAAAGGGAATCATGCCAACAAGGAATTTTCTCTAACATGGCTTATCTTGGCATAGAAATACAGCAAAAAGGTAAGGATGTGCTGATCTCTCTGCATTGTATCTTCTTTCTTTGGAAGTAAGCTAGAAAAAAAAAATTAATAAATATCCTCTCACTCCAGTATTGAAGAAATGACAAATGAATGGTGTCTCCAAAGACCATAGGCAAAGACACGTGTCACCAACTTCCCAGCAACTTGCAGGAAAAACAATCYTGATGAAAGTGTTCAGAATTAATACAGAAGTCACAATGTCTCCTTGAGAATTTATATTGGTTCGTCAACTTTAGCCAGACAAACTGCATCCTTAAAGAGTTGCTAATAATTTACGACTCCTGCACAGCTTATCAGATACATCTGGGAAATGTTCTTTGTATTTTGAAGCTGAAGATACAAGAATGTAACATAAAGGGAGAGAAAAAAAGACAAATGAAAAGGAAGTAGTGAGTTCCTGCTTCAGTAGGCTCTGCTTTTAAGAAAACAAGCTTTGCATTCTGCAAAGAGTTGGTTTGCCTATGAACTAAATTTGTGGAGTGGGTTTCATCACTAAGAGGAAGTTTTTTCAGTCTGTAAGACAAATATTTAATGATATCCAATGGCTGAAGCTGAAGTAAGACAAAGTCAAAGAAGAAACAGTAATGAAGAAACTGATCACTGGGATATCATTTTAAAGAATGCAGTGACTTTCCAGTATTTGTGGGAAGAGGGTGTCTGGCTTATTCTAGCCTTAAAAAAATACTTGGCCTAGCTCATCTTGGCCTARTTCTAGAAGACTCACACCCCAGAGCAAGATAACCACAATTCTTGAAAGATTCAGTGTTTAGAAGATGGGCTGTTTTAACAGAACACAAAGCTGAAAAACCTAACTCTACCTCACACTCTGACAGACAAATGATTTCCCAACACCAGCTCTTTTAATTTATTATGAATTGAGAAAAGTAGAAGTCACTCTCATTAGCCCCCCTCCTCCAAGTTCTGTTTATACAGATCTTGACCTCCTTCACTCCTCTGTGAAATAATTCAAATATTTCTTTTTGAAAATCCCAGCAGGATCCATGCACAGAGCTGGAGAAGCATTATCATAAATAATACCAGGCACAGTATGATAATTTTGAAGATTGTTCCCTCCATGCTTCCATGTAGATCCTGGCCAGCATTCACAGAAGATACACAGCACATGCTGACACCAAACAGTAACACAGTTTTGTATTCCCTACTTACCAGTGTAGTTTACAGAATAGCTGTTTGGGTCCAAGAATTTCTTTACCAGTTCACAGTTAGACAATATGTGATGGGTAGTAATTACATCCAGGTAGGCYTGAAGTCCCTTCTGTCTTTCAGCAATGAATTCACGCTCCATATTTCCAATCAATTTTTTTGGAGGAAGAGGTAGACTTAGAGTTGAGATCTTAAAAGAGAGGAAAAATTACTAACCTTGTTCTCAAAATACCTCAATGCCAACTAGAAATCCAGAAAGTAAAAGGCTCTCAGCACCAAGCTAACTACTGGATAACTCTTTYTGTACTGTGTATGTACAAGCTTTTGTATTTTTCCTAAGCACCKTTATCAGAGTCAGATGACAGCTTGCATCCCACTGTGAAGAGATTAGTAAGTGGAACAACACTGAAAAAAGGAGGAGAAAAATTTTTGCTAGTGAGTCACATATTTAAGATCACTACACAAAACTTTCAGATACTAAATGGCTACAATTTTTAGCTGGATTCTTTCTATGACATACCTCTGCCACAGCACAAAAACAATTCACACCTTACCATTTTTTTCTGGATAGGATTTATACTTTCTTATTTCATCAAGTGCAGATTAGTAACTTTCCTATGTCTATGTATTTGTAGGTAATATAAAAYCCCTTCTGCTAGTACTTTAAATCTGTAATTTTAAATACAGTGCAGCTTTTCCTTTTTATCTTCTGAATGTGTTCCTGTACATTTTTGAAACATCTATACATCTTTCAACCCAGAAATAGCTGCAATCTACCAGGGGATGTACAGTAATTGTTTTATACTGACATAAGAGATCCAAAACTTCAGGAAAAAAATCAGAGAAATCCTTCAAAATGGGACAATTAAAAAAATATACAGAAATTCAAAGCCTTGTGTAAGTCAGATCAAAGAGATCATCTTAATGTTTATATTCAATTACGTCATGTGAATTGCCAGAATACATTTTTTGTGTTGTTAACACATGATTGTCCTGCAGATCAAAGCACCTGCCTTGGGTAAGCTGAATCTCCAAGGGAGTTATCTTTAAGAATTGTGTGTTGCAGGAATCAATTACACCAGATGCAATAACCTCATTTCCAAAGCAAACAGTTCACCAGGGAGAAGACAGGGACTTTTGGTGTTTGAACAACTTTCATTTTAACTAGTGGAAAAGGTAATGGATTAGTTCAACAAACTGGGGCARAAGTAGCATTCCCCTTCCTTTCTACCTCCTTCATTTGAACATAGGAGTTGTCCCCTGCTAGCTTTAGCAACTTCTTCTACTTCTTGTTCTGTGCCTGCAAATTATGGACTGAAAAAGAACTATAACTGTCTGAATTATGGAAGCTGTTAATAAAAACCAGGAGTAAACCCAAAAGCAACCACATATCACTTACAGCCAGTAATTCACCAAAGTAGTTTTAACACCAGATGCAAACAAAACTCTCCTTTGGCGGACCACGCTTACTTCAATCCAAAACCAAGTTTCTAAATAAAAACTAATTCCTTTTCTGGTATTGCTCACTTAAAAAACATGTCAAATCATAATCACATTTACCTTCTTGACCTGACAGCTTGCTACWACAGGAGAGAAACTGACTTTAATTCACATGTTTTCAAACCACTATTACTTGTTTTAAAACTAATTAATCAGACTTCTGCTACTTTTCAGCAGAAAGTAACATTCAGGCCCAGGTTTTTGTAGCAATCTGCCAAAACACACAGCACAGCACAGCAAGAACACCACACCACAGAAGAACACCTCACTGAGGGCCTGACCTTGCAAAAACCTCACATGCTTTCAGACACTACTTGTCAGTGGCCCCAGCTCACCACTGGAGCCAGGATGGGCTTCGCCACGGAAGAACCTGGGAATTAACATTCTTATCTTCAAACCACAGCCCACTCAGGAATGTCTGTTCAAAAGCTGCAATAAAATGCTTCACAAAAGCCAGATATCTTGCTGTGAATTCCAGTACTTCCAGTACCAGCACTTCACTTGACAAAATAGAAGAGCGGCCAATGTTCTCCACTGATCTCTGTCAAGTAAGTAAAGAGGAAGAAATGCAGAACAGACTGGAAGAAGCTTTTCAATCCAGTACAGCTGAGTGTTCAGGGAATCCCTCTTGAAACTTTCTGATACAGATCAGGGTCACAGGTACACACCTCTCCTTATTTTCCAAGGTATTTGGCAGGACTGCATTCCCTAGCCTAGACAATTTTGAAATTCTCAGCCCTTACTGTTATTACACAGATAGTACCAGATTAACAACAGAAGATTTGCATTCCAATTCAATGGCAGCTGTGCTCAAACATAACTACCCGAACATACAGAGAGATCAAGTATGCCACAAGAACTTGGATAACTTGGGGCTTTACMTCCACAGGAAGCTCCAGCAGTTTTTCCAGCAGATTTTTAGCTTTGAAAGAGGTAGATTAGGGKTTTTGGTATATTCTTATTGGTCCCTATTTTGGGAGGGTTGCTTTGTTTGGAGTTTTGTTTGTCTACTCTAATTTCATTATACACAAGATGAGAATTTAAAGAGTTTAAAAAYGTATCATGGGACCTGAATATTGTAATGGAATATTGCTGCTTATTTGGATGGAAACATCTGAGGACTGCTGCATTGTCATAATGGATGAGGAAACTTCAGCTCCAGCATCACAAAAAGTAATTATCAAAAACTCTGAAACAGTGAGAGAAAAGAGCCATTGGAGGAGACCAACTGYGAAAGCACATGGCCTGCTAATTTATCTACCCTCTCATATCCTCCCATTAAAGGTAGAGATATATTTCAATAATTCTTTTGCATGTTTTCCATTCATCCAAGCAGCTGACATCTTTTCCCTGGATCTTAGTCTCTCCTGTTTCAAATTTCCCCTTTGTCCCACTCTACAAGTTGCTGTCAGATCATTTCCTGGACCCTCCACTTTTATTAGTCACCTCCAGCTCAGATATAAAGGCCTTTTCCTTCTAAATGCCATCATRCATAACCTATTTACCTTCACTTTATAGACTTTCCACCTAACTCTGCAGTACCTGTCATTTCTGAATTTTAAGTCTTAAAGGTCCATTGCTTTCTCTACTAAAGCTGCCTCATTTGAAAGGTAAATGAGAAGGCAACAAAGCCTTTTCATGCCTTAACGCATTCTATTCCTTCACGGTTAAAAGGAGCTTGTTATAGGTGGCTGCAAAGTGAACTCTTCCTTCTTTTTAAAACTTCCATAAAATTCTTTCTCTGTGATCTCTATCAAAGCTATGGTTAAGACCACATTGACCCCAAGGTACTGTGATGACTAGTACAATCTCAACTCCTTGTGTTCCCATGGGTTTTCGTCTAATTTTAAATCTTTGATGTCTCTGGAGCAGGAGACACCTCTGTATTGCATTTATTCAGCACATCACAGAGAAGGTTTCTAGGTCATGACAAAAGTTTCTACGTGCTACTGCACATTTAACAGAATAATTCCACAAGGAAACCATGCTGCATCTGTTGAATTACGACCGATTTGCCCCTATCCACCTGCAGCACAGGAAGCAGTTACAGTGTGCTGTCAGAGCACACAAATCAACACCCTTACAGGGTTTTGCTCACCAAGGTTCATCAAGCAGACAGTTCATTTTATTTGGGGAGGAGGGAATAAGTGGAAGTAGTATTAAGCTCTTGAATTCACGCAACATTTAACAAGGGAAAAAACTTCAAACCACAAAAATCTATCCTCAAATCGTGTCATTCACTTTTTATCCTGTTGGTCCAGTATGGAAATCTCAAGTAATGAGTTTGTCTCCTGTAGATGTTAATCACTGCTGCTTCTCSCCTGTTCCCAAACACACTCACATACCCTGCTCTTTCCCACACAAACTAAAAAGAAATAATTGTCCTAAAAAGCAGAAGAAAACACACAGTAAGTCCAGTGTCTGACCAAGGAACACCCCTCAGTGACACAGAAAACCATCACATGAGAAGCAGCATCTGGTAGTGCTTTTAGACAAATATAAATAATGAGACACATAGCACTTCAATGCTGAATTTATAAGGTTGGTATGTGCCTTGGCTTTCACCAAATCAAAGGAGGAACAAATAAAAACACATAAAACCGGAACAAGTCACAGGACTAAAGGGAGAGATTCAGTATCTGCCAATTTCCTCCATTTCTAAATAAATTGATCCTATTGATGCTAAAATTTAAGTTTTACAAGAGAAAACTTAAGGGCGAAAAATTAAACAAAGTTACATTTGCAGTCACAGTTYGTCTTTACAGCTATGTGAATTCTTATTTTTTCTTCACCATTATATATAAAAATATCACAAGACATTTTGAATATATCCTTCTAATGACATTTTTTATTTACATGAAGAGTGAAAGTTACCTGCAGGCTGTTATTCAGTAAGTCAAAGTCACTATATCGCCTCACAATCTGGAAAATAAAAGACAAAGTTCAGGAAACAATTACTTTTTCCATTATCATTTTACTTCTCAAAATCCCATCAGAGAAAAGTAATTCCCRTTTCCAACCATCTTATTATTTTAACAATTTTTGTACAAATGCCTAACTGCCGGATTTATGTCACATTGCCAGAGAGCAAAACATTCTTTAATCACAACCCAATCAGACAGAAAATGCATTTCTAAAAATTATCTTAAAACATTATTTGTGAGCAAAGTTGTCTGCAAACAAGGCATTTTTGCCATTTTAGATGCAACAGCTTTTCATAGTCATCTTCATTACTGTTTCTTGGTTTCATTGGTCTCATATCAGCAGAGCTGTGATTTTARCACTGAGAAAGGCAAACTGGCATTTGAGATTTTAAAATTATGGTTGTACCAACACACAGTAGAAACACATGACAGATATTTTTCTTGGAATATTCAGAATAGCAGCAGACAACATGCCTTCTGTASCTGGCAGCAATACTGTTTTTCTCTTAGTTTTGACCAAAAGAATTTAAGCACTTCATGTTCTCAATTCCAAATCAACATTTCTCTTTCCAGATCAAATTTTAAAAGCTAGAAAGAGACAATTTTCAAACTCTTCCTAAAAAAACATCCTGGTTGCATGAACCACAACTCAAGAAATTACCTGCCARCTGTTTTCTGTTGAAACTCCTCTCTGGACACGGATTATGTATTCCTAATAAAAAGAAAAAGTCATTASAAATGAGAACTAATGAGCTGAAGAAAGTTATTAGGTACTTCTTCAAATATGACAACTAACATTAAAACTCAGAAAATTCAGGTTTTAATGAATTTGGGGAAGGTCAGACCTGGGTTTGCTCACACTCATCCCTAACAGATATCTTGCTCTGCTTTCCCAGTGTAGAAGACAAGGAGAGGTCCAGGAGCCTGCACACCTGTGGAGCACTTGAGCAGTTTAATTTACTTAGAGAAAAAGCCAGCAAACACATAATCAGCACACATCTCTACCCACAACAGCTGAAGAAACCTCTCTCTCCTCACCTCCAGTATCTTAAAAGTACCCTCAGGAATTATTGCCACCACCATAACAGAGTAAAATGCCAATGAACACCCACAGYTCCGCAACCTCTCATTATTTTTGTACTAGAAGGTTACCACAAAACTTTGGAATGTGCTTAGTTGGAAATAATAGAAATCCAAGATGTCACAAAACAAAACACGTAGCCMTTATACTAGAATTAAAGTACCTATTTTCAGAAAGTCAGCCTGACATGCTCCCTCCACATTCTCTCCTCTTACCCAYTTGAAATCATAATTATGGTATCTTCCTGCAAAACAAGAAGCCCAAATSGTCACAAAGAGCAACATAAATCCACAGAGCTGACTGCCATTCAACCCGTGTAATTATGCTGGGAAACTGTGACAGACAACAATTAAAGGGACACCTGAAAACCCATATTCACCACTAGCATGGTGACTGTTGCTGCATTTTGGGAAGTAGGAAGAGGCTACTTCACACACAGACAAAAATTGCAGCAACTGCTTATTCATCAAGTCTCAAAGGAACATTGGCTGTTTCTCTAAAAAACCACGCCAGTGATGATTCACCATGTGCAGTCATTCATCTTTTCTAGGGTTTTGAAAGAAGCAGAGTTATTGCTCAATCCCTTGTAGCACTTGCTCTWTATCCAGTGGTTATCATTTTCTATTGTGCATCAAGAAAATGCTCCAGGACTGGCAGAACACAAATTCATTAAACAACTTCAAAGCATCTTATTGCACACAACCACCCTGGTCAACACAGCTCTTCTAGAGAGCCTCGTGATAAACAGCTTGGGGCTCAGAGCTCATTCTCACAGTAAGATTATTTTTTTTAAAAAAAAAAAGGTATTTGGGCCGCAACTATTTTTTCTAACACTTACTCGAGCATTTTCCCATCCCATCCATATCTGCTTTGGTGCCCTAATGCACTAATCAAGTTCCTTTTTTTATGTCACAGGGTTTGCAATTGGAAAGAGAAGAGCAAACACTCTCTAGGTGTGATCATTAGTTCTGTCTGTATGGAGAAGGTCAGTCCCCACCACACTGTCTCTGACTGTAATGAATTGTTGTCCAACTCAGCACYACGCTGTCAGTAAAACTAATGAGAAAGCCTAAATGGTTTTCTGGGTTGGTTGAGGAGGTTTTTTCCCCAAAGCTGGTACAAGATTGAAAGTCAAAGAATAGCAACAGTAGAAGAAAAGTAGATTGTAAAAGAAATACAATCCCATTCCCAGTATCTGCCATGGCTACACATAATCAGCAGACCACAGTATGTTGAGTTCTAGTGAGAAGTTGATACTTCCTATTGCCTCCGTGTGGCAACAAGCTTGTCGTGGGATTATAATTAGCACCACTGATATATGTTTCCCATAGGACCGGAGAAGAGCTTTCAACTCTTCAAGTCTAAATGCACAAAAGCCTTTATTACTCTGCCAAATTCT